AAAAAAAAAAAAGATAGATTTTGCAAGAGTTTTATATTAATGTTACTGTTGATAAATTATTTTTGTGTGAAAAATGTCTTCCGCCCTATCTTCTATTCTTCCCTCCCGCTCAACACTTGTCTTTGTAGATTATATAATGTTACCCACCAACCGGAATAGTTGGCTGACATTAAAAGGTTGTGTGTGTGTGTGTGTGTGTGTGTGTGTGTGTTTCTCTAGAATTTACTTTCCTTTCCCTCTTTGATATATCTGACTGACTGTTCCTATAACTGTTGCTATCTTTTCACATCTTATACAACCTTTTTAGCCTCTTTAAATGCGCCTTTATACCTCTCTCTCTATGTATACACATCTATTTCTTTCCTTTTCTGTCTCTCTCTTTCTCTCTCTCGGTGGGTATAGGGCTACGCATTTGAATCCTCTGTTGCGTACACGTGTCACTGTATATCATTTCGTGCAGGTGTGTGTGTATGTTCTTCCTAAGTATGAAGCTAATGTTTGGACGTTTCTCTCTTTGCGTATCCCCCCACCCCATTAATCACCTCACAGAAAAAAGGAATAGAAAGGACTGCTAGTAACGATGGATGCAAGTGGAGGGGGAGTAAGGGTTTTACTTGTGGTTAACTAAGTCGGGGTAGTCGTTCACTACTATCAACTCTTTCTTCTTCCGACTCCTCCTAAATAGCTTGACCCCTCATAAACTGAGAAGAAGAAAAAGAGAAAGACGCGGATGGGGTGTAAAAAAAAAAAAAAAAAAAAAAAAAAGAAAAAAAAGGGGAAATTATTATAGTTTGTAGTGAGAGATACTTTGGACATAATTTTGTTTTCTTTCTGGGAATAAACCAAACTTGTTGGTACCACTTTCAAAATTATGAATGAATGGATTTGCTGCTTCTTGTTAGATGTCTCCCATATTTTGTGCTAAACCACAGGATGGCCATTCCATTGAGTTTTGTCGCTCTTTGTAAGGAAAACAGTTAACTTTTTCCTTTTTTTAGTTTTCAATTTTCAATATCAATTAAAAAAAAAAAACAAAAAACGGACCCTTGTCTTTTTATTGTTTTTTTTTTTTTTTAAAATCTATGGCCGTACTACACAGGCACTGGACTAACATTTGGGCCAAAGTAAAAAGACTAAAACCTGAAAATGTAAGCGTTAAATATTACAAGTAAGTATTCATTTTCTATGGGTAATGTTTTATTTTTTCTTTTGAACTTTTAAAAGATGATGTAAATAAATAAATAAGGTTAAATTTTTTAAAAGTCATAGGCAAGGGTGTTTGTGATCATTCCACGAAATTATTCAATTTTTTTCAAAAATCAATCCATGAAAGAATCAAAGAAAAATATTTTACTTTATTTTTCAAAAGCTTTTTTGCGTATTTTGTTCATTTTTACGTTTTTCCTGAGTATTTTCAAATTTATTTAATTTTCAATACATAATCAGACTTTATATTACCATATTTAATTTTTAAACTTTAAAAATGAAATATTGTCCAACCTACTAAAATGATCTCGTTTGTAGTTGAGTTGTTGAAACATTTGTTTAATAAATGATTATTATAGACTTTTTTTTAATTTAGTTTGTGATTCCTTTCTTTTCCTCTTTTTTTTTTTTTTAAATGGTAACATTGTGGGTCCCTGGTTCGTCTTTCTTGTGGTTACTTCTTTACCTTTCACTTTCTTCTCTCCTATTTTTTCCCGTTTTCTTTTTCTTTTTTTTAATCCTTGAAGATTTGTGTGATAAACATGAACGCTACACATCAAAAGCAATGACCACCCGGTTTCCCTGTAAGAAAAGAAAAAACATTCAAAAAGAAAATACAATTACCTTTAAAATAATAAAAAAAAAAAAAAATGAGTGCAAGTTATTTTGTTGTTTTTTTTGTTTTTTAAAAAAAAAGAAAAAAACTCTGTTTTTTCTTAAGAAAGCTTTTTATTTTAATTTATTTGAGGAAGATTAACTGATTTAAAGTTTAATTAATCTGAATTGAAACAAATATTACTTTTAGTTTTTAAAATATCACAGAAAAGCATTTAACATGGTGGTGGGTGTTTTGACACTTATCAATAACATGATGTTTGCAAGATTTATGTAAGGGACATACTTAGTAAAATTACATAAATGAATACAATGTAAATGCCTTTTTTTTTTTCTTTTTTTTTTTTAAGTTTGGGGCATTTTTTTATCCTTTATGCTCATCTTTGAAGGTACCTAAATAAACAAAAAAAAAAAACCTCCAACAAGTCTAAAGTAACTTTATCAAGCAACAAAGAATAACATTGATGATAACCCATAAATGATTTCTGTGCATCCTCAGCATGACATTTAGTTCTATGCTTGTAAAATCCACAATACTAAAGCGTGGCTATCAATTTGCTTAACTACTCAGCCTCCTGTCTAAGAGTTTGTAAAACTTACTGTAAAATGAGTCAGACAACTTAATATTGAAATCAATTTAAAATATCAAGTCATTAAAACTTAGTAGAAAAATAAATAATATAAATAATAAATATTAATAAATAAATTTAGTTAAATTTTTTTTTTTTTTTTGGTTTAGATTTTAAAAAAAAGGAAATATTTCCTTAAGCAAAGAAATTCTGTCGTAGTTATAATTCTTGTTTAAATTTGCTTGTGAATCAGCTTTTTTATTAGAAAAGTATTAAAATATTAATCAAGATTAGTGAAATGCAAAGACAAAATGATCTTTGGTTTTATTGGCAAAATCCCTTTCTCCAACCTTCCCTCTCTTCTTGCTATTCTTTAATTGAAAAAAAAATCTATATTAATAAAATCAGAAGTCTTTGTATTGTTTACTGAGTCATTGTTATTATTCCACAATTTATTTAATCATCTTGTCCCTTTTTCTTTCACAATATTTCAACGGATGCATTCTTCAACCTTCCTCAATTCATTTAGCTTTGTGTGTGTTTTCTAGAATAATCGAAGGTTTCTTTTAAAGACTCAACTGACGGCCATCTTTGGTCTAAAGAACAGAAAATCAATGTAGCCAGTATTGTACCTTGCCTCTTTAAGAGCCTGAAACTCTTTTGCTGCTATTGTTTCCTTTTGTCCACCGTGGATAAAGTAGCAAAAGGCAGCCAAAGCTTTGAAACAAACTGTTTATGATATAGTCTTGAGAATACTAAGATTCTGCTATTAGTTCTGTAGTTAAATCTTTTCTTCTAAACTAGTTACTCTTTTTTTGTTCTTTGTATTTTATTGCAATATTGCCTGTTGAATGATCTACCATTGGATATTCACAGGGAAGCAAATGCCAAAATGTCATATTTTCAGTTCAATCCTTAGAACATTCCCAATATATTTATGTACTGCTTAATTGATATTGATCAAGGAAAAACCCCAGCTAACAAAAGACGAGAATGTTTAATTACTATAAATCAATTTCTAGCTTTTACTTTCTTGGTAGTTTCTCTCGTAATCTTCACTGATCATCTTTCCAGACTTCAATCCTGCTGATATTTGGAATTCCAAGGAAAGCCATATTGTAAATTAATTCTTCTACTTTTGGGGAGAGTAGCCAATTTTGCAATATAATTAATTAGACTTGTTCTTAATGTATTTTTCTTAATCTCAGCCACTTGTTTCCTAAGCTTTCACTTGTTGTAATTATTATTTCTATTGTCTAATGCTTAAAATGTGTGATGTAAACAAAGGTTTCTATAGATTTGATGGCCCAGATAAAACTGGAGGAAGCAGAACAGTTGATGAATGAATTGGGGATTTTACAAGCATAAAACTGATAATACACAGAAAAAAAATTTCTGTAATTGCTCCCTACTCAGTTTAAGAAAAAAAGCATTAGTCTCCATTATAAAGAGTAACAAAGAATATATCAGTGGTTGCAAATCATTATCAGTCTGATTTGCAATTTTATAACAAGCAACAAAAAAAAAAATCCTAAGGCACTGGAAGTGCCTTCAGGGGTTGTATGTCTTGGAATAATTGTCTTAGAATATAACCATGTGTTAGTTATTAAAATATTAATTCTATTTTTGTAGAAATGTTTATTTGAATTTGTGTCCTGTTGAGCTTTCAAATTTGTTTTAATTAAAGATTTCCTTTAGCATTTTATCTTTTGGTTAAAAGAATTTTTAGAATTTCTTTTTTTTTCTGGAATAATTCGGGGTGGGGAACAAAATTCAGATCTTCCTCTTGCTTTATGAATGCCTGACTTATAATTTTCATAACCATTTTCAGTCACCAAACTTGTAATTTTTTTTTTTTTTTTTTTTTTTAAATGGATGATGCAGTTTCAGGGGGTAAAATTGTATGGGAAATATTTAGTGGGTAAAAATTGTATGGGTAATGTAATTTTAGAGGATAAAAGTCTCAGGAGTAAAATTGTTTGTTTTTTTTTTTTTTTTTTTCCATGCTTCTTTTGGTCTGTGTCAATACTTAATCAAGTTGGTATTTACGCAAATCTCCATGAAGCAGGGTGTGGCACAAGGCCGATTTTTATGTGGGACAATTCAAGCCCATAGACTTGGGCAAAACTTCCCCATGGACCCTACTGCAGTATGAATGTCAAGACAACCTAGCCTCCAGTTTCACTAGTGATTGCAAATCAACATTTCTAGAATGTTTAACTTCTCATACAGCTCATGAATTTTTTCTTGTAATTTTTAGCGTTTCAATTCTAATTGAGTTAAATTTTCAGTTTGATTGGTTGATTCATTTTTTTTATGGCTTATCAACCATTTGCAGGTTATTTAAAGATATTTTTAGATTCTAAGATTTTTTAAAAAAATTTTTTATTTTTATTTTTTATTTATTTTTCTTATTTTTTTGAGATAATAATGATTTAGTGATCCAAGTTTTACTAATTAACCCACAGCTTGGGGAAAAGTGATTCGTATCTTTCCAAAGTATTTTTCGCATAACTGAATATAATGAACCCGACTGGAATTGGAACTCGGCTCTCTTAACAATTCTGAGCTATTATCATTCCAAGCTATCACACCATCCGCACATAAAGTTTACAGCACCTGGTATTCCCAAGTGGTCACCCATCTAGATACTGACCTGGCTCAACATTGCTTAACTCAGTTATCATACAAGAAACAGTGTTTCAACATGATATGGCCGTAAGCTAGATTTTCAGGACCTATGTATTTCAAATTTGCACTTTAACAGGGGAAAATGTCTAAGCGCCAGTACCAAATAAAATATATTTCTTTTATAATCTTGGAAAAATTTGATTTTCTTTCAAACATTTATTGGACATGATGTAGAATACTCATAAAGCAAGCAATATCTCAAAATTCAATGATTTTCAATATTTTATGAAGCAAAAAAAAAAAAAAAAGCTCAACTTTATGCTAAATAAATTATCAAATCAATTTCAATAAGTTTTCCTGATAAATCTCTCATAGAAATTGCTCATTTGGTAAAATCATTGGTTTTTTAACTTGTTATATTGGAAAGATTTTGCTTAATTGTTTGTTTTGTTTTTTTCTGTCCTATGGCAATTAACAGTCAATTAATATAGTTATTTTTAAAAATCTGATCTAAAAAAGCACATGGTGGCGAATAAATTATGGTCAGGGTTGTGGGCAATTATCAGAACTTTCTTTATGCTGATGTTCACCTAGTACAAGGCCCAAGAGCCACACAAGATAGAGGGTTACTGTGTGGTGTTGTATCAGTGTAGGAAAGGGCAAGAAGTGAAATTCATGTGGCTATGCAGGAAAGACAATGGCTACCGCTAGATCTGAAGAGGTCAAGATAGTAGTGATTGGGAAAACATTCTGCCGCGAATGTTCCACAGAACAGCTGTTCTTGGGAAGAAGCTGTCCAAAACTTTTACTACAGGAATATGAAAGGGAATGGGGCTGATTCACTCTTATGCATGTGGCATATTGTATCCTAGGTGTAAGGGCCAGGGCTGGTAGGTCTAAGGAATGTAGCTCATCAGAACACATACCATGGAAGTAGCCATGGAACTTTGGCAGCATTCAAGTAAACAGTAAAATTTCAAAGCTACTAATAAATAGTATAAATACCAATAAATAACTGTTGTAACCTAGGGAAGGTTACTGAATAAAAATAATCACATGAAGGTTGGTAATGAACAATAATACGTAGGACATATAAGATTCGCCAGCAGGGCGTAAAAGTAGTAGTCAACTGCTAGAAGTGAGTCAAGTGAATTCCACAATGAATCTCCAGCTGCAGGTGGTATCAACCAACTGCTCCATGCAGTCAGATGTGGCACAAGGCCAAATTTAATGTTGGGTTCCCGAGCCCACAGGCTCAGTCAAAAATTCCCTGTAGACACCATATAAAACGTGGTCGGGTAGGTGTTTCCTGAGATGAGACTCTGCCTTTCACCATAGCCCTGTCTGAAGCCGAATCTCCAACTGCAGGCCGGCAAACCAACACACAGTATTCACTATTGTATTTATGGGAATGGGAGTATACCCATTATTGTCCGTAGGTATGCTACAACAATAACAGATAAAAAAAAAAAAAAATGTTTGCCTTCCAGCAAGACAATATGAGTTGCCATTCTGTATTCATATGTCAGTGACCAGTTTTTCAATTGTGATAAAATGGCCTGCCTTGTCTCTTGACCTCAAACCCATCAAAAATGCTTGGAGAATGATGGCAAATTTGCAATATTCCAATTTTGAAGAGATGTAATAGGCTTTCATGGTTGCATGAGAAAAAATCCCTCAATCTACCCTCTTTAAATTGCTAAAGTTGGTGACAGATCATGTCCTTCTTTTCTTGAAAGAAAAAGGTGCAGATATAAATTAACTCTTTTATGAAATAATGTTTTGTTAATAAAAGCTATTGATTTTTTTTTTTTTTTTTTTTTTTTTTACTGTGCTTACTGGATATGATTTTTTTTTTTTTTTTTTTCCATATTTTTTATGAAAAAAAAAATTCCCTACAATAAAAAAAAAAAAATGAAAATTTACAACCATGCTGAAAATGTTTAAAAGTAAAAACATTTTATAAAAATCTGATTCACTTTTAAATAAACCCTTCATAGGTATTCATCAGTTTCTTTATTTACTACAAAATATTAATCATGATAAACCTAGTATGAACAAGTTTAAGAAGATTATGTTGCTCCTTTTGTCAAGTGGAAAATGCCTGCCTTGAAAATCAACATTTGAAATCCCTGTTTTGACTTGGATTTAATTACTTCTTGTTTTAGCTGCAGTATCCAAATTGAGTTTGTTATATTCATTTATACACAAATACTCTCTTGGGAAAGGTATGAATACATCACTTCTCCCCTCCAGCTATGGGTTGAATAGCAGGACAGACTGGGTTCTTTCCTACTGAGAAAAATCTTCTGCCTCGTCAGTCATATATTGAAGTGTGTATCACATGTAGCACTTAACTGACTGACTGATCCCTTTAGGATATGGCTGCCAATAACTTCCTGACTGTCATAGCTCTAAGCTATGTTTGACTCTTTACTATCCTTGGAAAAGTTATGAATCCCTCTCCTCCCCGAAGTTATGGGTTAAATAGTAGGACTTTTATTTGGAAAAACTGTTATTCTCAAAATAATTGTTAATGCAATATTCACTTGCAAAAGAAAATTATTCTTACAAACCAAAATATGTTTTGGCTTTAAATAACCTACAAAGAGTTGATAAACCGTCAAAAATGAATCAATCAATTTGACTCTTTACTATCCTTTTACATGCAAATTGCTACCAGATTGAGAACAAATTCATTAGCTAGGTTACTGACTGTTTCCAATGCTCAACCTGTCTTTAGTATGTCTTGTGAGTGTTAAATTTTCCAAGCTGTTTTCCCAGTAATTTCAGCTGTGTCCTTTTGGTTCCCGTTTTCATTAAAACTTCTTTCTTACTCACATTTACTGCCCATAGTATCCTCAGTATCCATCTGTAGAACCACATTTCTGTTGCTTTGAATTTTTTCTTCATCTGTAAGGAAATTATCCCTCATTCGTTGTCAAGCAGGAGGATAAGATATGACATAGCAGTTTTGCATTTGTTTTTCTTTGTTTCCAACAAAATTTTCTTTACAGTTTCATTTTTGTTGTTCCAATGCACCTTTGGATTTCTGCAACATTTTTTGTGGTCTGTTACCACCCTAACCATAGGGTTAAATTTCTTTATCCACTTGATTCTAAAGGCTCTAATTTGAAGCTCATGCCTTTGGCTGTCTCTCTTTCTGGCAACCATATTTTCTGTTTTCTTATAGTTAATAGTCCTTTCTTCTTATTCTTTGCTATCTTCTCTAGGAGTTCTCTTGCAGTTTTCCTTTTGAATCTGTCATCCACATATCTTACATTGCTAAAATTATATTGGCTGATAATAAATCCTTATTAGTCTTCTGGTTGTTTTAGGATCATCTCACTATTTAGTTAACCACTAGTTTTGAAAGAACTTTACAGTTCATTTAACCACTAAGCATACACACACACACAATACTAAATATTGTGTTTTGCAAAAAATAAAAAAATGATCACCCTGTGTATTTCTGGGCTTTTTTTTTTTGTTGGGAAAGTTTTAAAATATTTTTTTTTATTTTTATTTGTTTCTTTATATATATATATATATATATATATATATATATATATATATATATACACACACACACACACCAATTGTTTCATTTGATTATGAATTTTTTTATTAACTTGCTTGTTTCTATCTATCCCCCTCTCATTGCTTTCTATACTTACCTATATATTTTTTAGCTACCGCTATCCATCTATATTTATTCTTATTTTTCAATTTTTTATCCTATTTACATGTCTTCCTGTGAGTGATTTTCTCTCATTTATGTTAACTGATAAAATGTTGGCTCAAATTTAAAACAATCTAAATTTCCTCAAAGATAAAAAAAATTCCCACCCCTTTTTACTCTGCAGAGTTTTGTATAATTCTTAGATTTTTTTTTTTTTGTAAACTTTTTTTCTTCTATTGCTGTTTTTTTTCTCCATTTATTGGTTGCCTTTTCTTTTGACTTTATATTGATTTATTGATTCTCCTTTCAACTCCCTCCCTCCCCCCCCCTGCTACCCGTCTGCTGCACATTTTCAAAGCTATTCTGATAGCTTTATGATCTCCATAACAACAAGACTTCTTCAACTTTCACTCGGCTTTCATAAGTCAATAAAATCTTTATCTCACTCCAAATAACAAATGAAGATTTCCAGAAGTCTTTCATTTACCGGATTTTCCTCATAACCCCTCACTTTATCTGGTCAGTCTCACTTAGTCTTAGTAAAGTGACCATTGCTGTCTCTTTTGACAGTGAGCTGACCGGACCAGCTCAGATAAGATTTCTGATGGACAACAGATCACCGTATAATTTTCACATCCATTCATGATGCAGATCTCTATCAAATACATTGATCCTCTCGTTAATATCGGTTAGTTTTGGGAAAATTCCCGTCTAATTTAATTAGCGTTAATTAGAGACACAAATTATTAATCTTATTTCCTTTAACATAAATTACTCAATTTTGTTTATGAGGTTTCTTAATTAAATGCACATTGATTAAAATTGATTTCAAAATACAATCCAAATAGTGAAGCTACAAAGTCCTTTCCCTTTCACTTTGCTGATGAGGCCAGTAAAGGGCTGGTATGTCTTGCTATGACAGGAGAAAGTTTTAGATATGTGTTGACAATGAAGAAACGTAATACATGAAGATACATATCTAACTGAACATACTATACTACTGTTTACTAAGCTTAGCCTAGTCTAACACAAACAAATTACTAAACTCCTACTGAGGATTGAATTCCCTAAGTTGTCTGCCAGAGAATCCTGTAAATAATCACTTAATGCAGGGGGTCTCAAATACACTGACTATATGTGGCCCTCAACCTGCAGGGAATCCTTTTTTGTGACCAATATTTTCCTCAAATTGTAATAAGTTTAATAAATTTGTCCCTTTCCCCTTTCTATACCAATACACTCACTCACCCAAAGAGTAAATGTCCCAAAACATCCACCTATGACACACTCGAGTTGTAACTGACGAAAAGAAGTTAAATTTTACCCTCAATAAAAATCAAATGAGTGTAATTAGAACTTTATTTAACTTATACTTTGGAATTCAGTAAAAGAAAATTATCATAATTTTG